ACTTTTTATTTGTAAAGATTTTCACATACTGACTGCGAAAGAAATATAGCAGACATGTTAAGAAAGTTTTTGAAAAAAACTACAATAAATTATTTCTAATGGATTTCGAGATATCGATTTTTGAATTCAGAGTTCTAATAGCGCGACCACTAACGAACACCAACTCAATTCAACTTGTTTTTACTAAAAGGGCAAGTGTTTCTAACCTGCACTTAAAAATTTACAAGCTAGAGGGAAAATTACAACGACGTATCATGAGACGTAATTAAATCGTATATAGCTGAACGCATGATATATACACCATTCACTAGAATTTTAAGTACTGTTTAGGGCCACCGCGACGAATCTGCTGTATCTCCTTCCACGTCTCTTAGCAATGTGCACAGATTCTCGGTTTATTTCATACGTTTGGCAACATTTTTACTGTTCTCTCTTTATTCAATACGTTATAAACGCATTGTACTTTTCTTACATACGGAAATCTCGACCCAAAACTAACGGATGCAAAAACTTGGGTATTTACCTTAATTTCAATATTATGGGTACTTGCCCATCACTGGGTTTGCTCGACAAAATAAATTGCAAAAATCAACTCGACACAATAAATTCCAAAGACAATTTCGTAAGTAAATCCAGACAGACTCCTATGGCCTATGGCCCGGGCAACTTGTGGGCTATAATAACAGTAATAATAAACCAAACTTGGCGTGGGATTAGGAACTTTGTCCCGGCCGACTGTAGCGACGGCCGGGAATACTTTTCCAAACTGGCAAACAGGAACAGCAGCGAGATAACTTTGCGTCCGCCTGAAACCGTGTGACTGAAACGTCATGTGTCAAATTAACTTCCGGTTAGGCAGTATATAAGTTGTAAATCCAGGGGCGTAACCCGCTGAACCTCCCAGAAAAGTTTTTTTATGTGGGTGATTTAATTGAAGGGCTTATTGCAATAACATGATATGCCACAAATCCATAATTCTGAATTATTAAGATTTCGCAGTTGTAAAAAATGTGTAAATTTAACTATTATCAAAGTAATAGTTATTTTTTTATACAAGACGATAGTGCAATTTTATCGTCCTGTATAAAACAATATTTTTTTCCGTAGCGAGTTACGTTTTAAAAAATATTCAAAAATAATTACTTCAAGGAATTTATTACGAGTAGAAAAAATATTGTGCTGGGTTGGCGTTGATTTCTATGTAATTTGACAAGTAAATAAAACTGTCTCTTTAGTTGTCAGTTTTGAGTCTTCTTCTTCTTCTTCTTATTCATTTTTAAGATCTCGCGATCTGTTAATTTTGATGGGTCCTCTGTAACAGTTCTTGGGAGGTGGACTGCCAGCTGTCCTTCCATCTCTTAGGTGGTCTTCCAGGTTCTCTTTTCCCTGTTGTTTTCCCTTCTAATGCAATTCGTGGCAGTCTTCTCTCATCCATTCTTCTCACGTGGGCGCACCAACCTCTTTTTCTTTGTCTGCCCCACCTTACTATGTCTTGCACCTCACATTGTTCCCTGATGTCGGTGTTCTTAATTCGGTCTCTTCTTGTTTTTCCCATTATTGTCCTGAGCGTTTTCATCTCGGCTACTCGTAGCATGCTCTTCGTTTTGTTGGTTTCCTCTCTGGTTTCTATTCCGTATGTCATGATTGGTCTGATACAAGTCTTGTATATCTTTACCTTGCTATCCCATCTCATGTATTCGTTCGCCCATATTGTTTGCCTTAAGCAGCCCGACATGGCAGTCGCTTTGTTGATCTGGCTTCTTAAGTCCTTCGCTGGATCATGGTGGCTCGACAGATCCATACCCAGGTATTTGAATTGTGAGACTTGCTCGATGATTTTGTCCTGAACTACCAACTTACATCTCACGGGGTCTTTAGCAAAGGTTATGCTTTTCGTTTTTTCTGTAGATATGGTCATATTCATCGCTTGACTGACCTGGTAGAATCTGTGAAGCTGTTTCTGCAGGTCGTCCTCCGTTTCCGCGAAAATGGCTGCGTCATCGGCGTAGCATACCATGCTGATTCTTTTCTGTCCCATTCGGTATCCTATATTTAGTGATGATACTTCCTCTATAATTCTGTCCATTAAGAGATTGAACAGAAATGGGCTAAGGCTGTCACCTTGTCTGATGCCTCCTGGTGTCGGTATCTCTTCCGTATAAGTGTCTCCTGCCTTTACTCTAGTCCTGTTGTTCATGTTTAGGTTGTGGATCGCTCTTACAATGGTGTCTGGCGCCTCTCTCGCCATTAGTATATTGACGATGTCGTAAAGGCGCACCCTATCAAATGCCTTGGTGAGGTCGATGAAGCAGACGTATGCTGGTGTATTAAATTCAATTGACTTTTCTTTTAGTTGTTTGATAATGAATATGGCATCGGTCGTGGATCTGTTTCGTCTGAAGCCTTGTTGTTCTTCCTTGTTTGTTATTTGTGTTTCAAGTCTCTCCTTCAAAATACCCGTAAAGAGTTTCATGCTTGTGTTCAGCAGTGTTATGCCTCTGTAGTTGTCTGGGTTCGTCTTCTGTCCTTTCTTGAATATAGGGATAGTTATACTTTTGTGCCATTCCGTAGGTATTTCCGATGTTTCTAAGATTTTGTTGTAAAGGATTTTTAAATGTTTTCCTAGTTCAGGTCCGGCGTATTTCAGAAGTTCATTTGGTATAAGGTCTGTTCCGGGGGCTTTTCTGTTTTTCAGTTTTTTGATTTTTGCCATTACCTCTTCTTCGTTCAGTGTTATTTGATGGTTTGTCTCGTAGTTTTCGACGTTTATGACTTCTTCGGTGTTGTAAAGTTTCCTGAAGTAGCTCTCCCATACATCCTTAGTAACTCCTTTTGTTTGCACAAACTCATTTACTGGCTTTTTCCTGTTTTTAAGCATCTTCCAGACTTTCTTCTGTGCTCCGTATAGGTCGTGATCCATATCGCTTGTAAATTTTGCCCAGTAATCCCGTTTTATGGCTTTGATTCTGGCATTGATTCTGTTTCTCACTTCTGTATATTCATGAGTTTTGAGTCAATATTTTTAATTCTCTTTCGTGTCGATTGCTGATTGAATTGGAACCCGAAATGGCTCAAAACGAAATAAGTAAATTACCAACAGATATTCAGGCTGAGGCGACAAACGCCATATCCAAACTACTTCCATTTAAATCCCGAATAACATGAAAAAGAATACAACAATTTTCAAAAATGGGAGCAATTAAAAAACGTGCGAGAAGAAATAAAGTGTTTAACCTATCCTCGCTGTTAAAGTATCATTTAATCTACACTTGCGGTTAAAGTACTATTTTATCTACTATTTTTGATAGATATAAGGTAATTTTAACAGTTGCTATGGAAAAAGATTGAAGACGTTTAGAATTAGTTTAGTTTAACTCGTTTAGTTTAACTCGTAACTGTTGGATAAAAGGCAAGAAAAACACTAGGTACTAGTTAATAAAACTGATTTCTAGTCGAGTGGTTTATCATGTTATTATAATAAGCCCTTCAATTATAACCATATTATATTATACGTGATTTAAAATAATCCTTTTTTGAAATTGAATTTTCTTTACCTTCTATTCCTTTGTAGGCTAGCACCCCAATCTAAGTAGGAATACTCATTAAAATTAACCTAACCCTAAATTTTAAACAAATTTTCTTCAAAATTAACTTTCAAAACCATCACATTGTTGCCATTTTCAATTATGTATTAAATATGGGAAAACTCTAACTTTCAAAGAACATAAGTTTGAAGGCTGCTTATCTTGCGAACCGGGCAAAACAGCGATACGGCAGTTTTTCTTTAAACAGTAGAACCGTCTCTAACTCCTTTTAATATTTAATCACTTCTGTAATGAACTATTTTCAACGATAACGTTGCATTAGACCTGTTTAATTTTTAATTTTCGGTATAAAGGATAGTTTGTAACTATATTTTAGAGAGGTTGTATAAACTTACGAACGGGCCTTTAATAATTTAACGTATATAAAAAGTTTTACATAGGGATTTTCGAATTAATTAGCTCGAGTTCGACTGCTAAGACGCGTAAGAGCAACAAAAAATCGAAAATATCAACTTTCCCCAAGTTTTATAATCGACATAATAATATGTTAAAAATAGAATCACTGTATTCTTTAATCAATTACACACTTATTAGCTTCAGACCATTTTTTGTCTTTGAATAAAAAGATTAAGGAAGGAGCATATCAAAAAACTTAAGCTCAACCGCGACGGGACTCTAAAATGGCCGACTTAAATTCCGGTTTATCAATGCCGTTCTAGTTTTATTCAAAACGTGTAAAAATATGATGTAGGGCAGACTCAATATGTTGTTTTATTTTACGTTGTCAAGAAATGTTGGTAGTTATTAAAAAGTTATTAAAATTGTTATAAAAATATATAATTCTAATAAAAATAGATATGTTATAATAACTATTTATTAACAGAAACATCTAATACGCTACTGAAGCAGGTTAAGTCAAATTGACGTATCTAAATTCTTTGACATATAATCTTTTAAGTGAATTGCATAAATGATCGGTTTACTACACGTATGTATACATCTAGCTGTCACTTACTAGCGAAAAATTATTCCATTATTTCCCTCGATTTTTGGCCGAGATCTTCCGCACGCTACTCAACCAACTATTTTACAGTCTTTTTCGATAAATAGTAATAGTGTCACTGTTAATTTAAGTTCTGCCACAATTTCCTTCTAGATTTACTACCTTTAAACAGCTATCAGTAGTAGAATAAATAATAAATAACATAAAATAAGCTCAGTAAAGACTGATAAATCCACAAAATTTCAAATCAAATTCAAATGTGTCAAATGAATCGTCAAACAGAACTGTCAAGGATCCCCACCCTAGAATCCTCGTTCCGTCGACCATGCATGAATACATGGAAAGCATTATGCTTCTTCAGTAATCTTTTTATTCAAAGGTTTTTGTCTATTTTTTCTGAATAAAGTGGCTGAGGAAGGTTAAACAAAATATAATTTAGTTATTTCTTTCAGGATTTGGAAACTTTCGATTTAGAGGACTTCAAATATAACTCTGTCAATATAACTGCCTTCCGACTGGTTGACGTGGACCATCCCAAAGTCCAGGAAATCTTGAAAGTAATGGAGAAGTTCCAATCTATCGGACACGCCATTCTGAATAGGAGTGGTATAATACAGGTACTGTAAAAAAATTAATCAATTAAATCAATCATCTTTATAAAAGCACACGATTTTTAAGAGAGTGATCAACTCTTTCAAAAAAGCTCCACCATCAGTTATCGTATTTTTATATATAATTTTATTATTTAGAACGATTCGTGTTTGAATTTGTTTCCTCGTTATAAATTTGTATTCTAAAAATACGACATTATTATAATGATTTTGTCAATTTTTAGGCTGAGCCGGCTCTGGTATACGATTCCGTCTACGTTTTCGCCAAAGGCCTAGCGAATATGGATTCTATCAAGCCTACCAACTTATCTTGCGACGTAGAAAAGCCCTGGAATGACGGCCTGTCACTCTACAATTATCTTGATGCTGTGGTAAGTTTCTTGCTCTTAATTAGAATTCATCCTGAGAATTTAATTATAAGCAAAATTATCTTTTACTCAATTATTGTTTTATATGACTACGTATTTTCTTGCATTTTTTGTATTTTTTTTAATTTTTTCAGTAAAAAATTACCAACTGACATTTAGCCGTGATTTTTCGAAGACTTTGTATAGTTTAAACGGAGTAGTATCGGAGAATTAAGCTTGATTTTCATGCATCCGTTATCCGACGATACGATATTAATTTTATTGGTTGAATTTAAAGACTTCGATTGATTAGAAAATTACGCAGTTTCCAAATTTAGTGCATTTTCATGCCTCCCTTCATCGGATAACTGATGAACTCACCGTACAAACAGTTTTTTAGTGATAAAAAAAATATTATAATAGATACAAGTGAGCTAACAACATGATTAAGGAGTTAACTCTTGTGTATAGTACAATATTTTATCTACGCCTAACTATAAAAACACTCAATGAATTTTAAAAATTATTGTACTTAACTACCCAAGCAGCATTTGGACATCGGGACAACGTTGTGTCACGCGACCAAACGTCGGGGCGCAATAATTAGTACAATTTAATAATTAATTAGTTAATAATTTAGTACAAACTGCAACGTTGTTTAAAATCCTAATTCACAGAAATACAAAAATATAATGATATGGCGTCTAAGTCGCGTTTTATCCTAAATTGGGATAATTATAGTAAAAATATTATTTTTATGATTTAGTTAGAGACATATGCCAGATGGCAGTAAAGGAAAACAAAACAAAAGTATTTAAGTGTGGAGGATGTTTGAAGATCATAATTATTGAAACACTTTAACCGACTCTCTAACTCGTTACCCAAGGCAAAAAAAAGTTAAACGCAAACATCTTTATTGATAAATGTATTGTTTCTACTTTCAAAAATACTAATGGGCCTTAAAATTAAAGAAGTTTTAAAAAATTTCTTGAATTTTTTTTAGTAAAATGAGAATAATTTATTCGCAGCCGAAAAAATTGTTTCCGCGTGTTGTTTAGGGTCAAATATTTCAAGTTAATGTATTCAAAAAGCAGGAAATGCTATTTTAGGAACGAAACATTTTCTCATTCAACAACATGGCGGCTTTCACTTTGTTGTTTTGGAGATTAAGATGGAGTAGTTCGAGTAGTCGCATACTGGACTAATAAAGTCGCATTTCAGCCTTAACAGGTAGTATACTAGTCGCAAGATTGCCTAATTTAGTCATCCTAGGTCTAGCTTGTGCCGCCCTCTATATTCTAAATAAACGAGGGAGTGGATAAAGTATCGGTAATATGTCGATGTATATTTAAATTTAGTTTTATATGTACCTTTCTTATGTCCCATTTTAATTAAGTTTTTTTTATAAAAACAAAAATAGCACTGAACTATCTGACTGAACAGAACAATGAAGTGAGAATTTAAGATTTAAGGTTATGGTCCAATACAGTTGCAAAAAGGTAGTGGCTCGACGTCCTACCAACGTAAGAATAAGGAAATCTAAACAACGTTGGAATTAGTAAAACAGACGACGTTTGCATAACGTTGGAATAGGTCCTGAAAGTGACGTCGGAAAACTCTTTATTGCCCAACATTGTAACTACGTTGTCCGAATCACCTAAAGATCACTTAAGCAAAAAAGGTTACAAGACAACGTTTATTCGACGTCGCAGAAGCTTTTACTTTTTTGTAGTACTAGTTCAACGTCGGCACAACGTCACAACAACGTTTACATTTATTTTAATACCCAAGGTACGGAGCTAACTATTTTTTATTTAATTTGTAACTAATCCAACGTTGTGTTTAGTAAACATGTGGTCGCAAGTCGTGAATATGCTACTTGGGTATATACCTATCCTAATAATCAGTTACCTTAATATCTTTGTTCAAATAACACCATGCATGGCAATGTCAATATGACAGTAAATAATATTGACGTCACTACTTTAAAAAATGAGCGATTCGGAAATTATTCCCTCTGACATTGAAGAAGAAGTATTCAGAGCCATTTCTGGATTGCTTCCAGCAAGATCGAAACAGAAGTATGAATATAACTACATACTCTGTATGAAAAATGGTGCACCGAAAAAAAAGTACACAGCTATGGAAATGAAAAGGTACTCATAACATATTTTTCCAATTTAGTGCAAAATAAATGTTTTACAAAATATTTTTTTCTCTTTGGTAGTCATCTAAACAAGGAGTGCGGTAATGATAATGCGTGAGTTAAGAAGCTCTTAACTCATTCAAAATGCGTGAGTTGAGAGCTTTTTAACTCACTGACATAGATAAATACTTTTACCATACATTTTTTCAAGAAATATGCAGTAGAACACGGCTTAACTTTAAAGAAACACTGGTTTTTTGTCGCAATCTCTTTAAACCGGAAGGAAAGCATTTACTTTAATCCGCACCGTCACGTTTCCGGTTCGATGGACGCTAAAACACTCCGGATCAATTGACCGAAACCGAACATGACCATCAATTACCCCAAAACGGTCGAGCTGCAGTCACCGCCGAAATCCTGAACCGATCGTTTTGGTTTATTTTATTTGTCATCCTGTTCCACAGCTCGTGTTTTTCGGAATTCTCGGCAATTTTGACAAATAGCCTATAACCTGTTTAAATCTATAAAAACAATTAATACACAAGTTTGTTTTATTAGTGCAACTTAACAGAAGAATATAATTTAAAAAGCCTGATTAAGCTTGACCGTCACAGCGTTGCCCCCTTTTACATTTTTTCCTTTAATCAAAATATTTTAAGAAACAAAAATAAATTTATTACAAGTATATAAACAGTTATTATTTACATCGACAAAACTCACTTTCTTAACAGCACATAAAAGACATGAAGGGCTATTACTACCGCTTTTCCGTTCAAAATATTCTAATAAAGTTGCGATGAGTTTTTTACGGCTATTAAGCTATCTTGTACACTTCGCACTAAAAGAGGTTCTTAAAAAAACAATGTTCGACTGCAAGGTCTGCTAGTAAACGTTTTTAAGCTTAAAGTTTCACAAGACAATTTATTTAAACCAAAAACTTGTAATACAAAGCTAAATTATGAAAACGAATGACAAAGTCAGCAAATAAAAAAATAAATATGAGAAATTTATATTTTTTTAAAGCAGAGCTACCACCTGAATCCCTAGCGCGAAATTTAAATTCCAGTCAGTCAGCCCGGCGCCGAATATGTCTATGGTTGGCAACAATGAATTTAAAAATCGCGCTTTCGATTGCATAACTAAAAGTATAATAATTGATATCAAATATATGAAATTTGGACATTGAAAATAAGGAATTCATAAAAAAAATTAACCAAATCAAAAAATCCACAGAGTATGGAATGATTATCACAGCAGACACATATGGCACACATGAACTACTGAAGAATCAAATTAATAAAATTTACATACAATATGACAATAAGATACAATAAGATTATGTAATGTGTAAAGTAAGACCTAATAATTTGCCTTTCTATAACTACCGGATGCTTCATTGTCGCTGAAAGCATAGGAAATCCCATTCTAATTTTGAACTATCCAAATATTGACTCCCCTATTAATTTTACAGTTCAGTCGTAAATAGGTTTTATAAAGGTCATATGGGCAACAGTTTTGGACAAACCGATTTTAAGTAATTTAAGAAAAACTGCATCTATTTTTAAATTAAAACTGAACAGGTAACAAGCACGTAATAGCATGCCATTAAGGAACACCCTGTACAGGGTGGCGCCTCTCATACGCCGGCGCCGCGGAGGCTCCAAGGAGAACGACAGTTTTTATTGAAATGAAATTTTGTGAGCCTATGTAGATTAATTCAGAGCACTTTTTTAAAATTATAGAAAGTTCTACAGGGTGTCTCCAAAAAAAGTTACGTATCAAAGTTGTGTTTTTTGTAATCGAATACCCTATATATTAATTGATTTTTGGATTCTAGGAAAAAAAATAAAGTTTTATTAAAGAAGCATATACCAAAAAAATTATGTATTTTGACATATTTCACATTTTGTGAAAATGAAGAGTAAATTTTAAATTTCGATAACAGCTAAAAAATTATTACTAGTTGTTAAAGTCAGACTAATTAGACGGCTATGTTGAAGTAACGTCAGACATATCACAGAAACCTAGATCTTATCAAATAATAAAGATCTACTCAGATCAAATCATGTAGATGAAAATATCTAGAAAAATCTTTGATTGAGGGGTAGGCAACCTTAATAGTATTTTGAGGAGACATGCATTCTCCATTGAATATCGGAATAATATACTGGGTGTTCCGTTTAAAATGAAAGAGTAACATGCTTTTAAAGCTGACCAATGTTCAATATTAATTTTGTCTCACCCTGTACAACTTTTTGGATCAAGTTTTAATTTGATTTAAAGTACAATAGTTACTTTAACTACATATTATGCTATACCGGGTAAATTCCAATTTAGGTAGCTTTTATTGTAATTTAAAAATTGTTCTTTTTTTTTTAAAGAAATGTTAAATATGCCAAAACCTTACATTTTAGTTATATACTTCTCTTATAAAACTCACCTTTATTTTTTTCCCAGAATCCGAAAATCAATTAATATATAGGGTGTTCCATTACAAAAAACACAACTTTGAGATGTAACTTCTTTTTGGGACACCCTCTAGAAGTCTCTATATTTTTAAAAAGTACTCTGAATTAAGCTATACATATATGTTCACAAAATTTCATTTCAATACAGACTGTCGTTCTTCTTGGAACTTCCGCGGCATATGAGAGACGCCACCCTGTATTTAGAAAATATCCGTATATTCGTAAAACTCTTAACTTTACAGTTAACAAATTTATTCTTTCAATTTCTGCAGAATAATATTTTCTCATTTGGAAAAGCCTTATTAACTTTTACTGGCCCTATAAAAACTAAACGTAATTAATAAAAACATACTTTTATGGGATCGTAAACCGTACAAGATTTAGTTATGAATTTTATAGCGTCTGGAATA